ACTGGTGACATGCGTCTAACATTTGTTAATGTCTTTAGTTATACGTGTGGTTATTATTTCTCCTTTGGCATACCAATTTAAAATTTCTGATTTCTTGAGTAAACATTATGGAGCTATTCCTAGACAGGTCTGGCTTCATTCCTGAATTGTACTTTATCTGTAAGCTATGTCTCTGAGCATCCTAGGTTTTGTACCTCAAAATATTTTTCACAGTACCTGGGGCTGACTGAAATTCCTTTCTTGCTAACTCTCTCAGTGTTACTTTCTACATATTCTCCTGAACTTGACTCCGGACATGCATTTTTAGCCTCTTCAGGCTTTTGCATCACAACTGCCTCCCTTAGACATGGAAGATTGCTTATCACGGAGGGCTGCTTATCATCCTGCTATCCTAGTCTGGAAACTTCTTGCTCCATCTCAGGCTTCAGGAAGTAAACGCAACCAGAGATAGCTCCCGTGTACAATGAGTGAATGAATATTCCTGATGGATTTCTAGAAGTGGGATGTGTTGAGCATTCCAATGGTCTAGTTAGAGGAGATAACAAAGTCAGTTGCTTTTGTGGGATATTTGTACACTGTGAAGATGTATTGTTGTGATTGATGTAACAAAAAGCGGAATGTTCAATAGCTAGGCAGGAGAGATAGGTGGGACTTCCAGGTAGAGATAGAGCACCAGAAAGAAGGAGGCAGAGTCACCAGCTAGATGCCAAGGAAGCAGGATGGGCAGCTCAGAATAAAGGTAACAGCCATGTAAAAGAACATAGATTAAAAGAGATGTGCTAATTTAAGTTGTAAGAACTAGTTAGGAACAAGCAAGCTAAGGCTGAGCTTTCATAATTAATATTAAGTCTCTGTGCCCATTTTTTGTGGTACAGCAGCCCAAAGAAAAATCTGTCTACAGAGCATGAGCAAGGAACTCAGGACCGCGAGGGGTGCACCCACACACTGAGACAATGGGGATGTTCTATCGGGAACTCACCAAGGCCAGCTGGCCTGGGTCTGAAAAAGCTTGGGTTAAAACAGGTCTCACTGAACATAGCGGACAATGAGGACTACTGAAACCTCAAGAACAATGGCAATGGGTTTTTGATTCTACTGTACCTATTGGTTTCTTGGGAGCCTAGGCTGTTTTGTGGATGCTCACCTTACTAGACCTGGATGGAGGTGGGTGGTCCTTGGACTTCCCACAGGGCAGAGAACCCTGATTGCTCTTTGGGCTGACGAGGGAGGGGGACTTGGTTGGGGGAGGGAAAGGGGAGGCGGAGGTGGGGAAGAGACAGAAATCTTTAATAAATTAAAAAAAAAGAAACACACCTTAACATAATATTCCCCCAAAAAAATCTGTCTACATATGGCACCCAACTGAGGGTTCCATGTATAAGGAGTTTTTCTCTGTTCTGCCAGCCAGCTCCCAAATAATGACACAGAGATTTCTTATTAATTATGAAAGCTCAGCCTTAGATTAGGCTTGTTTCTAACTGGTTCTTATAACTTAAATTAACCTATTTATATTAATATACATGCTACCATGTGGCTCATGGCTTTTACCTCTCTTCCTGCATTTTTTGCTTCCTCTGTTTCCAGATGACGATTCCTCTTTTCTTCTTCCCAGAGTTCTCTCTGTCCTGAAGTCACACCTATATCTCCTGCCTACCTATTGGCCATTTGTTTTTTTCTTAAACTAACCACAGTGACATGGTTTTACATAGTATAATCAAATACCTCACAACAACATTTGATGTTTACAATTAATTACAATTTGGACAATTAATAACATTCCTGATTTAAAATAACAGCCCAGCCCCAGACTCATGAAATAACTGTATGAATGCCTGGATCAAGGTGCCAAAAGAGTCTGGAAGACTGTTAAGCCCATGGTAAAACTGGGCTTATCCACTGTGCTGAAGGTCCTATGTCTTCTAGACAGCAAAGGTAACAGGGGCTGGGTGGGGGGGGGGGGGGGGGGGGGGGGGGGGGGGGGGGGGGGGGGGGGGGGTGAGAGGGGGTAAGTGTAAACGGAAGACAGAAAAGCGGCCTATAAAAGCAGCAACCGTTCCTTTGAAGACAACAATACCACTGGATTAAAACAGTGATCAAGGCCACACAAGAAACTTTTGTCTCCCTCTCTCTCCTGCACCAGTGAAGTTCCTGTTCTGTGGTTCCCACAGCCCAACCGCAAGCTGAAAATGACTCTGCCTCGCAGCATTTTGCAATCATTAAAAGCTATAGAAAGTGAAACAGCTACAGACGGAGATGTCTCAAGTGATACCTCACCCCACCTCCCACCATAGAGTGTGCATTGTCCAGCTGTCCGGCTCCCTGGGGGGTGGGGGAAGTTTCTGATGCTCGTTTTGACTTTTATCTGGCCACAGATACTACCTGCCCCCTTCCAGGAGTGTTCCACTCTGAGAAGAATTCAGTTGTCTTTCGTATTTTTTGCTTTGCTCCTTTACCACTCACGGCTCCATTTAGAACTTGTATGGGGCTGATCAATTTTTAATATGCTGTTGTTATATTGGATTCCTTAATTTAAATCGGTTGTGAACATAGTCTTTCTTTATGGGCATTGTCAAATGATGAAATAGATGTTACTTTAAGAAAGTAAAACCTCCCGAGTTTATAATAGACAGCCCCGTTCTCTCTGACCTTTATAATTCATTGCAGCAATGAGGTACGTGGCTGCAGTTTTCCAAGAAACAGCTCCTGTGGTCAGTGTGATTGCTGAAGTGGGGATTTTCCACTTCCAGATACACTTGCTTTCACACATTAGGCAATGGATACCTGCTTGCATGACGGTCTCATAATAATATCTCTTGCTCTTTTGTACGTTCTGGGCGAATGCATGCTCTGTGGGGCCCATACATAACCAAACTGCATACATAACCAAACTACCGCTCCACATCCGCTACGGACCACCTCTCGGCCGTACTGCAGGGGAGGAACCTTAGCGGTGTGGTGTGCATGCTTGAGGGGTGCAGAACAATTTAAATGGGACACGTTATAACTGATCGTCACCCAGAATGTAGGATGTTGCCTGTTGGTATAAGAGTATCCTTCTCAGAAAGAGCCAACGACGATGAAATCAGAAAAACTGAAGATCTGGCTCTTCCCTGCCTTGAAGGACCACAGTGGCTCTCTCTCCACGATCCTCCTCCCCACGCTGGCCATGTTGTCAAAGCTATCAACCCAGCCCAAGTCCAGAGGGAGGGCCGAGGCTAATGCCAGTAGTTCAAATTCCTTTGATACCCAAACGATACCTTTCTTGGCCCTTCTAGCCGTGCGCAATGACAGGCCCTTGGCCTCTGGTATCGTTCACGTTTTCCTTCTCTGTGCCATCACTTAGGGAACAATGGTGGTAGATGTTGAAAAGCAACTGAGGCACACACATCTATCAGGATGCAGATCGTGGCAAAATTCATTCTGTTGTCAGAGTGCCTGATGTGTATAGTGTGACAAGGGAGTGACTCACCTTGCTACATGGTATTGAGAACATGGCAGCCTTTTATGGCTAGTGCAAACATTTTTTTGCTCTTCTATTTACTCAACTAAATGTTTCTATTGTATCATTGTCATTTCATCTCCTTTTGATAGTGGCAGGTGTGGAAGCCAAATTTAGTAGGCCATTCCAGGCCTAGCGCCTCTCTCTAGCTGTATTTTCTCCCACAGCATTCATCCTCCCGAGTAAGGGAGGTACCTGTACAGAAATCTACTTGCTTACAAAGCATATCATAAAACCGTCCTTCTGAATCCATCAACAGAATTTATAATTCCCTGTAGCAAATTATCTCAAGCATTCCGCTGCAAGCATTCAGACTAGGGCAAAGTCGTCACCCTCCGTGGTGACTATTGAGATAAGTAGGCTTTTCATGACAAGGAATGGTGAGTGAGTTTCACCATTTCTTCCTACACTTGAATACTTCCTCCTTTTTTTCCCCCACCCCTGCTAACTTCTTGCCTAGGACATGGTCATTAGCTCCTTCTTAGTGAGTGGCTACCATGTGATGGGGCTGGACAGTGGCTTTAGGATTTCTCAGACTCAGTGAGATGGCAATTGTCAAATCGAGATTTAGTAGAGGAAAGTTCGGAATCCTAATGGTGGGGAGATCTGCCTAGTCACAATTGCTTTTTGGACCAGGATTTGATTTAAGGGCTTTCTGAGCTCAGAGCCCGGCTCTTGAATCGTCAATCACACCAATTATATTCTTCTCCAGTTACAGACATATTTCCACAGCAGCCAGTAGAATGTCAGGTCTGTCTCACGCCCAACTTACCCTTTCTGTAATTCTTGTATCTTGTTTCAAAACTGCTGCTTCCAGGAAAGGCGAGTCCCCATCTTCCCAGACAGAGACCTCTGCAGCCACCCACAGGCTTGCGGAGAACGGCATGGAAATGGAGGAGGTGCAGGGGACAGCAAGTCTGACAAAGCAAAGTAATACAGCCCGAAAGGAGGAGGGGACCACACCAGGAACGAAAGACCAAGATTTACTGAGCTCCTGAGTGTCCTTAGGAGGTCTCTGAGCTCTTGGAACAGCTCCCAGGCCACGCATGGCAACTCATCTTTGGAGAAGGGGGGCAAGGCCCAGCAGATATGAGTGACTGATTTCCACACACCAACGCACCCATATGGCACAGGTTTCGCAGATTTAATCCTTTGGGTACCGCTTCCTAGGGCTGGGGAGGTGAAAGGGGAAGATATTCTCTGCTTGGTGGTCTCTTAGGGACCGAATGGGAGCATCGCTAAAGAAAAACTAGTAACAAGTTTGAAAGACACATTCAGCCTCTTTAGTTCCTTTTGACTTTTAGGACACACCTTCCTCCCCCGTGAACCAGCCCAAACGAGTGGTAGCAGTAACCACCCCCTGCATACCCAGCTAGCCCAGAGAACAGCCCAGACTCCTTCCTGTCACACCTGGCAGAATCATCTGCAAACTGCCCACGCTCGGGCTGGGAGGCCGCTCCAAGGTGACGCGCCCGCCTCCGCCCCTTTAAGGCGGGGCTCACCAAGGGGTGGCCGAGGAAGTCCCGCGGCCCTCGGGACGCTCTTGTGTCCTCCGCATCAGGACTGCTTGGTGCGACCATTACCACAGACAACAGCAACGGTGGATCTCACGCAAGTGAGGGGCGCCTGCCCTCAGCGCTCTGCTGGACTGGTAAGTCCAGCCTCAGACAGGTAAGTGTGGTGGCTGGTTCACCTGGCCGCGTACAAGGACCGGGTAGCAGGGTCCTGCGCAGCCGGATACTGAGGCTGGGCGTCTGTCCTTTTAAAGCCCAAGTGGGAAGTTACTGACTTTGGGGGTCCAGGATGGGATTTAGTGGCGTTCCGAATCAGTAGTTGGCCGCTCAGGGTTCCGAGAAATGTCTTGAGGCTCAGAGGCAGACGTTAAGTATTGGCGAACTTGAGAGGGCAGTCCGTTCCTGAGTTTCGTCGCATTGTAAAGGCCACACACCCAGTGTCTCCCGAGTGCAGCGGAGTTAACGAACCCCATTGCTGCTAGAAGCTGGGCTCTGCAGAGGTCGGTCCTTTGCTTGGATAGGCTTTGATGCACTCCGAGTTCCTGAAGATGTTGAGAGTCGCGTTTCATTCTCTGCGCTGGCATTTGCTCAGTTTCAGGACGATAGAAAACCTTAGAGTACGAATAGGTTACAAGGCTCTCAGCCACGGCACAAAACAAAGCAAAGGCTAACGATGACTGTACTGAATTTGAAAAAACCAAAAAAAAAAAAAAAAAAAAAGTCCCCAACCTCTGCCCAGTTTGCCCAGTTCTTAATAGAGCTCCGGAGCCTTGACGATTTCGCGGGTTGAGTCTTCTCTGTTCATGGACGAGCTCTTTTGCAATGTAAGGATCCCAGCTGCAGCTACAGGCTGAAGCCTGCATGCACTGGAAACTGCAAGCCCGGGGCACTTAAGGTATTAAAGAGCTTCTCCAGGAACCCTGGGACATTAGGACATTGCTTTCTCCAGGCATATTCATTGTGTGGGGTCTCTGGATGATGATGCCATTAGCATTCAGCCCTCCACTGGGTCAATAGCGATTCAATTAAACAAATACTGTACACCTGCTAAGGGCAAGCCTTCTAAAGAGCAGTCTGATCTAGGCGTTGGTGGGACAGATGTTAAGACAAGGGGGTGCGGCTTCGAATTTACAGTTGGCGTTTAGAAAAGCCCAGGGTCATATTTGTGATTTACTTCAGCACTGTTGCCACAGGTACAAACCACGATACAGGGAAGAATACAAGTCCCAGAAGAGTATGTCGCTAACCATTGTGTAAAGAATGTAGAAAACTGTCACTAAAACAAAATTAAGACTCAATGAGGATGAACTACACAAAGGGCCACAGGCACTTTATCTTATCGTGTGACATACACATAGTAGATTTCGACACCCCATCCCACAATTTGGACAAGGAGGTTGGCCTAGAAATGTCACGTGGGGTACATCTGTGTGCTGTTTGATAGTCCCTGCTGTCATAAGATCAGACAATGTAGATGGGAAAGATTGGCTGGAGAATAGAAGCCAGTCGTGTTCTGAGAATCTGCTGCCTTGGGTTAAAGCAGGCTGAAGCGACCAAAGTGAGCAGAGGCTTTATTGTGCTTTTGCGGCTGAACGGCGACCTACCTGGGACAAGTAGATGGACCGAGGGTTTTCAAAGGGAAAATTTCTGTGTGACTTCTTTAGTCTACCTTAAAAGGATTCATAGGTCCAATTGGGGCTAGCTGCTAAAAATTTGTATGTATTCTTCCTATGTCATCAATGTATGTGCTTCAACAGTTCAATTTGATTTCTTTCCTTAGCTGGGAAGTGAATAAAGACCATCAGGGTTCCCTAGAAAGAGCCTCGAGTTTGTATGCAAATCCATCTCATATTAATTAGACACCTAACATCAAATAACTGTGTCCATCTTTCCACCGGCCCATCCCTGGAGATGTAGCCCAATGTGCAGATTTGGCAGGGAATCCTTAGCATCCCCATGCCACTTTTGTGTAGAATCCATAACAATTCTGCTAACCACATCCTGAAGTATACACACGAGTTAGACACTTGACCTTCTAATTCATGTTACTCTGCCCTCTAAAATGAGTTAAGCTAGAACTCAGAATTTAGCCTATTTCTTGGCAAGGAGAATGTTTGCTTTCTGAAAACCCTTTCTGCCATTGCTGCCAACTAAACAAAGATTCAAAGGTGTTTATACACTTTAATTATTTCTGAGGCATTGTCATTTCACTGATGAGTAAGAACTCCGCATGTACAGAAAGGTCAGGCGGCATTTTCTGCCTGGATTCTGCTTCAGATGTATTTAGGTTCTCTGTTTGCAGTGAAATTGGCAAGACACCCGGAACTCATCTTTATGAGACATTGAAATTGTCTGTAGGAGGTGTGTGTACACTGTGCTTGATTTGATGAAGGTGGTCCACTGAAGACAGAGCTGGACAGATGATAAATTGGAGAAATTTCCAGAAAACCCAAATGGCCAAAGTATGTCTGATATTGGAGCTGTGATGTCTGAGGGTTTTGTGCATCCCTACAGGCAAAGAATTTGGGCATGAAAGTGAATATTTATTTAAATGAGAATGAAATAGATAAGAACTTGAGTATTTCTCTCTCTCTCTCTTTTTTTTTTTTTTTTGGTTGCAATCTTATTGGGTAATTTATCAGAACTGTTGACAGAGCAATGCTTCCTGTTTCCAGCCTGGCTTCCGCCCTCCTGAGACTACTTAGCTTCTACCAGCTGCATGGATCATAGAAGCCTCAGGCTGAAGTTCCTGTATTCATAATGAGCGAGGGGCAATTTAGTGTCTGGAAGCCAAGGACTCCCAGGCCCTTGGATGGAGAAGAGGTAGCTGACGAGATGGCATCAACTCCTAGATTGTTAAGGACTCTTAGCATCTGTGTCTAGTGAATAACCCAGATATGACCCCTAAGGCCTCCCAGGGATCTTGTCTGTTTAGTTACCATTTACTAAGAATTTTCTGTATCGTAAAGTAAGCTAGGGGCCTTATTGCTCAACCCTCCTCATCTCCAGGAGGGGGGCTTCATTGATAATGGTGCAGTGTCGGTGGTGTCTTCATGAAGGTTCTGTGAGACTTCAGATGGTTTGGCGTTGGTAGAGTTACTAAGTCTAGGAAGGGTTTTGTAGGTGAGCAGGAACGCTGAATGTCTGCTGCTACTTGCTGCTCTCATTGATGCAAATGTGTATCTTGGTCAGTTTTTATGATATTCTTTCAGACCAGCAGCCTGAGCATCCCTGAGAAGCTCATGAGGTACATGAGCTCAGGCCCACCCCAGGATCGCAGGGATCAATAGCTCTGGATCTGAACAGAGACGTTTTTATTGAAACATCTAGGAGATGATCTCAGGCATATTGAAGACTGTGAACCACTATAGAATTTTAAGAAACAGACCAGGCAGAGAGTCCCTTTAGATCAAGAGACAGAGAGGAGTTAGTAATAATGTAGATGTATTACTATTACAAAACAAGTTAAACATCTCCATTCTGGTTCCAAAATCTGAAACCTTGGGGTATTGACATGATGCTTAATGGAGAAATGTACACACTACACAGCTTTGTCTTTTGCCCCAAATTATGTAAGATAATATATAAGATTACCTGCACGCTAAGTGCAAGTGAAACACAGTGTAAACTCATGTAAAAACTTGGGTTCAATCCCTAAGCTATCTCACTGTACATATGCAAGTATTATAACATCGGAGGAATTATCAGATTCCCAACCCTTCAGGCCCTAAGCATTTCAATTAAGTGGAATCATATACAGTAAGCACCGGAACTCATGTTGTTTAGGTGTATTTCCACCTATGTTGTGCCATGCACTGTGTGAAAAATGATACTGTTTAATCATAGATCGAACCTTAAGGTGAGGCAGGGCTCTCCTTGCTTGGATGCAAGGGTTGGAAAACTTAAGAGGGGGAGAAAAGGCTTTGCCTATGTTCTCACAAAAGTCTGAAAGGCTGTTCGGGTAGAATTCAGGACCAGGCACTCTGGATCTAGACCCACCTTTCTCTTCCTGCCCCAGAGAAATTTTCATGGATGCCACTGTGTTGTGTTGGCCTCAAGGAGAAAATATGGAAGGCAGGCACAAAAACTATTTGGATGAACCTTTTAAACAGGTCTTTCATTTTATGAGCACCCTGGGTTACCAAGATTTTCTTTAGGGACAGATTCCCATATTGAAGGGGGAGTGGCCATATGACTCATTCCCACTGTGGGTGTTTCAAGTGTGAATGCGTTCTCATTCCCACTGTGGGTGTTTCAAGTGTGAATCCATTCTCATTCCCACTGTGCATGTTTCAAGTGTGAATGCATTCTCATTCCCACTGTGGATGTTTCAAGTATGAATACTTTAATTACTTTCTTAGCATGAATGTGTTCTCATTTCCACTGTGGGTGTTTCAAGTGTGAATCCATTCTCATTCCCATTGTGGATGTTTCAAGTGTGAATTCTTTAATTACTTTCTTAGCATGAATGCGTTCTCATTTCCACTGTGGGTGTTTCAAGTGTGAATCCATTCTCATTCCCATTGTGGATGTTTCAAGTGTGAATGCTTTAATTACTTTCTTGTCTGAAGCCCCAAAGCAATCCCACACCAGTTAAGAATTAGGGATAATAAAAAAGGGTTATTTGAGGGGAAAAACAGATCACCGTCCCAAACAACAGTCCTCTTGTCACAAACAGGAAACAGAGAGTCTAGTTGCCTGACAGGAACCCAAAGTAAGAGAGAGAGCCTGGTTCCTGCTGCTTTTTAAAGTATAAGAGACCACACCCCAGTGGGCTGGTATCTTAAAGGCTATAATCTGCAGGAGCAGCAGGAGGCGCTCCTGCAGCTCTTGTCCTTGTATAAAATACAAAAGTGATTGTAGAGAGGACAAATTGTTGAGCCATGATGGTGGGACTGTCAGTATGTGGTTGCCTATAGTATCAACAGACAGCTTATATGCACTAACGCCAGTAATAGTTCTAAGACCCACCATCCCAGACAGCAGCCCACTTCTTCAAGGTCAGTGCCACCTCCTAAACTTTAAACCAATGCCCCAGACAGTGCCTTCAGCTGGAGACCAGGTCCTCAGACACATGAATTTATGGGGATTATTTCACATTCAAGCCCCAGCAGCACTGAATGGACATAATTGCATAACGCGGGAAAGCCCTTTCCT